GAAGATATCGGTGAGTGGGCAAAGACATTGACGCTGAAACAGTTCTTGGCGAAAACCAGGGACCGTTTCCTCGACAAGACAACGGGCGACAAGGCCTTTGACCAGTTGACGTCAATTGGTCAAAAGCATTGGACGTCAGTTGAGGCTTTGTCCCGAGAAGTTGACCGATTGTTGCAGGTTCCTGGATTGAACTTGCAGGACAGCCAAGTGCTGTACATTTATTCCAGCGCGTTGCCTGAGCCCATCCGGGGACATTTAGTCACCGAAGCGAAGTCCGGTAAGTATAACTACAGGCAATTTCGTGACCTCGCCCTGCAAAGGGAACAGATGACTTCTCATGTCAAGAATTCCTATGCAGCGGTAGTCAAGTCTGGAGGAGGAGGAGGAAGACAGTACAATGGGAAACGAGTTATCTGGCGACAGAAGCGCCAGGACCACACCCTTGTCGTCTTTGATGACGACACAGTGGAAAAGTGGTCGAACGAGGAGAATGATAACAACAGTGACTCCGGGAAGGGGGAAGTCACTGCTGTTGTGGCCAATCAGGGAGGACCACCCAGGACAGGAGGGAAGAAACAAAGAGCGTTTCCATGGCACCCTGGCATTGCTGATGGGAAGCCATGGGTCGAAATGGGTATGACTAGAAAGACTTGGCAGGATCGCATGGACAATGCGCAATGTCTCAAGTGCGGCACAGCGGGACATGTGATCGCCTACTGCCCTCAGATCCGGAACCCAAAAGCGAACAGCCAGTAGGAGTAGCATTTGCTCCTACTGAGATTAAGGGTAAGAACCAACAGACAGGTAAGGCGCCTACGACCCCTTCCTACCCTTCTTCTCAATTGGCAGAGGATGATTCTTCCTTAGCCCATCATCCAGATCGCCCTGATATTGTCTTATGTTATGTCTCTCTAGATGACTCCCTTGATGAGTTAGGTAACGAATTGCTAGCATTACGTAGCTCATGGGCTCGAAAGGCGAAGACTAAGGGCGAGTTGTTGTTTGCAGATGTTGAGATCGCACGAACACGAGTTGGTGCGATGCTGGACCCAGGATCAACGAGATCCTACATCTCCGAGAAGGCAATCCGTAAGTTGCATCTCGGCATGAAGGTAAAAGACTTGTCTCGACCTATAACGTCTATGTTAGCAGACAAGAGTATGATCACTGTCTCTCAGTTTGTTGATCGTATTAAGTGTCAGTTCTGAACGAAGGAAGGAAAGAAGATTGTGCATGAACTATCCTTCCTCATAGAAAAGAATTTACCTTTTGATATCATTCTGGGTATGGATTGGCACGAAGAAGCCAACCCGGACATTGATTTCAAAAACAAGATTGTGCAACTCAAAGATGCGCAATCAGAAATGAAACCAATTAAATTACATCACAAGTCTGGCTCTGACTCAAATCTATCCTTTTGCTGTATGAGTTATCCAACTTTTCGTTCAATGGTTTCTAAGAAAAAGTTGGAACAGGAAGTTATATTGGTGCTGGTAAAGAAAGCCGGTGAGTCTTCTTCTTCCTGTCCTCCGACGATTGAAAGTTTTCTCTCCGAATATAATAATCTGCAGAATGAACCCACCGGAATTACGGAACGTGCTATAAAGCACACCATTGAAATTATTCCGGGTAGTAAAATTCCAAGGGCCCTATCTATCGAATGTCTTCCAGGGAACTTGAGGAGTAAAAGAAGCAACTGCAGGACCTTACTGACAAGGGATGGATTCGCCCTAGTTCATCTCCTTATGGAGCACCTGTCTTGTTCGTGCCCAAAAAGGAAGGTGAATTACGTCTATGTATTGACTATCGAGGGTTGAATGCCGTCACTGTCAAGAATGCCGAACCACTCCCTCACATCGACGATTTACTTGACCAACTACAGGGATGCAAGTACTTCAGTAAAATTGATCTGAAGTCCGGGTACCATCAGATCGAGGTGGAGCCCGCGGATCAACACAAGACTGCTTTCCGGACCAGGTATGGCCATTACGAGTTTATGGTAATGCCCTTCGGATTGACTAATGCTCCTGCTACATTTCAACGGTCAATGAACGAGTTATTTCGTCAATGGTTGGATCAGTTCGTCATTGTCTATCTTGATGACATTCTCGTATATAGTAAAACACTAGAAGAACACGAGAAACATCTTCGTCTGGTTTTGAGTAAGTTGCGAGAAGGCAACTTCAAAATAAACCCGAAGAAGTCTGAGTTCGCTAAGTCTGAAGTTTTATACTTAGGACATACAGTGAACCAAGATGGCCTCAGGCCTGAAGAAAAGAAAATATCAGCAATTAGAGACTGGCCACAACCTAAGTCTGTAACTGAGTTACGATCTTTTCTTGGCTTGGCAAGCTACTATAGGAAGTTTGTCAGGAACTTCTCATTAATGGCTGCACCAATGAGAAGATTGTTAAAGAAAGGAACGATCTGGTTGTGGGACAAGGATTGTGAGTCCTCGTTTAAAAAGGTAAAGTACGCTCTGACTCACTACCCTGTTTTGAAAATTGCTGATCCATCTCTTCCCTTTATTGTCACCACTGATGCAAGTCAGTATGGGATTGGCGCAGTTCTTCAACAGAACGACGGCAATGGCTACAGACCGATTGAGTTTATGTCTGCACGATTGCCATCTGAAAAGGTTGCCAATTCTACCTACAAAAGGGAATTGTATGCGTTAGTCTGTGCCTTAGACACCTGGAAACACTATCTATTAGGGAGACACTTCACTGTGTATTCAGACCACTCTACCCTGAAGTGGATAAAGACACAGCCTAGGCTCTCTGATAAGCTAGTACGATGGTCTACATTCATTGATACTTTTGATTTTGAGTTAAACACTATCAAAGGTAAGTCTAACATGGTTGCAGATGCATTGTCTAGGAGATGTGATTTCTTTGGTGCCATTGTCACTTACCTAGACGTTGGGAGTGATCTGAAAGATAGAATTCGTCAAGGCTATGTTAATGATCCTATATGGAAACCTATCATGGATGTCCTTGCGAAAGACCCGAGTCTACTTCCCAATTATAAGATAACTAATGGTTTGCTTTTCTTGTTAGACCAAACTGAACAACGATTGTGTATTCCTCACCAGGAAGAAATCAAAAGTCTAATTATTGGGGAATGTCACGACGCCGAAGGTCATTTTGGTTTCAAGAAAACCTACGCTGAAGTTAGAGAACGCTTTGAATGGAAGGGATTGAAAGAGGATGTACTAACTTATGTTCGTACTTGTCTTGTGTGTCAGAGAAACAAACCCTCACATGAGAATCCACTTGGTCTTCTCAGACCGTTACTAATTCCAAGCGAACCAGGTGAGTCTATCTCCATGGATTTCATGAGTCTCACCAAACGTCGGAATGGCAATAGTCAGGTAATGGTAATTGTGGATCGTTTCTCTAAATATGCTATGTTCATTCCCTTACCCGAAAAAGCCAGAACGGAACTTGTGATCCAAAAGTTTCAGATGCGATGGGTGACTGAGTATGGTTTCCCTTTATCCATTGTATCTGATCGAGATACCAGGYTCACAAGTATGCCATGGCAAAAGCTGATGGAAGCATACGGTACACGTCTAACTATGTCGTCAGGTAGACACCCTGAAACGAATGGGCAGAGTGAACAAATGAACCGTTTGTGCCAACAGCTTCTGCGCATGTATGTAAGACCCGATCAAATAGATTGGGATGAGAACTTACCTAAGATAGCAAGKGCATATAATAGTAGTGTCCATACCTCTACAGGACGAACACCTAACGCACTGCATAAAGGGTGGAAACCTAAGCGTCCCATTGATGTATTAACGAGGGACCAGTTTCTTAGGTTACCTCCAGGGACCCGCGAATAAGCAGTATTGTTTCAAGAAGACATTAAAAAGGTAAAGGAGAACTTAAAGAAAGCTCAGGACCGGATGATCGAACAAGCTAATAAGCATCAACGACCATCAACGTTCAAAGAAGGTGATTTGGTCTGGGTCAAGTCTAAAGAGTTTTCATTAGAAGAAAATGTCTCTCAGAAACTCCTGCCTGTCTATTTTGGACCCTGGGAAGTTCTTAAAGTGATTGGAGATACAGAGGGACCATCTTACAGGATTGATATACCCCCTCATCTCAGAACCTATTCTGTTTTTCATGCGTCTAAGTTTCTACCTTATGTAGAAGGAGATGAATTCCCCCAAAGACCATCTATAATACCGCCGGATATGGATGGTGGATATGAAGTGGACCGAATACTAGAACAAGGGTTCTTCTCTACAGGTGCACGAGGACGACCCCAGAAGCAAGGTTCGTTTTAAGAGTCAGAACCCATCTGAGGACAAATGGTTTAGTAAAAGAGAACTCCTTGAATCTGCTCCTGATATTTTCTCTGCTTATGAACATGGGTTGAAGTCTTAAATGTTTCTGCGATGGAACTTGAAATTTGGGTCGGCAGGAATGCAGTAACCCATTTCAGCAGCAGACCGGGGCTCAGAACCCCCGGTAAGACACAGACTCAGTTGTCTGTGCTGGGCTATGTGACCGAGACATGCCCAGCCTGRGTCTGTCGAGGAGGCTGTGTGACCGAACGCAGCACAAAGGAAATTCAACAGTCAAAGTCAACTGTAGAGTCAAAGGTACCGCACCCAGGCCTATGGTCGGATACATTCACTTGTTGTGTGCAGGTATCCAGACAGCATTCAGGGCGGGAAGAATACAGTTTCTGGCCAATCTGGGCCCTCCTTCACATCGAGATTTGGACGGTGCAAGACTTCAGCACCCGGGGTACAGACCCCGCATCCACGCTATTTAAGAGTTGACTTCCTGGCTGGAGGACATTCAGTCTTGCGTGAATGCTGACTTCACGCGTGGACTTGACGCTGTTGCGATGCAGCGACATTGCGACATTGGCTTGACGCCGGCCATATGCTGGCAGAGGAGGACGGCAAGGCGCTGCTGGCTGGCAAGGTGCTGGCTGGCGATGGTCTTCCGGGCAATCTGACGTGGCAGCTGCCACGCGCCGTTGCTGACGTGGCCGCTGCCACCTGTATATGATTGATGATGTGGCGGGCTGCGAGATTGATGAGGCTGTTCTGATTCTTCGTCACTTCGGAAGGGGATCAAGACTGTGGTTATCGAGGATACGTACCTGGTTGATGACGATACTCTCCATTTGCTGATGTAGCCAGATTGACGTGCCACGTGGCACCTTGAGGAAGAACTTCAGACATTGTATTCAGTCTATTGATTGATGAGGTGGCGAGGAGGAGGAGGAACCCGAAGTAGAAGTGGGCTGTTGTCTTCTTCTCTCTCCTTTGTCTATTCTCCCTCTCTCCTCCTTCGTCTGTGTATGATTCTCACCTCATTCTATCATCACACACATTTGCGATTGTTTGGCATTCATCAGCAGATCGATAATCATATGGACTGGTAATGTTGATGAGTATCATCACGTCTGGGCTCATTGCACTTCCGAAACCAGGCGCGTTTTGGCACCTGACTCAATGGTACCAACGCCGTTTCGGACTGCAGGCACCAAGGCAGCACCTTGAGCCAGGTACACAAGAAGGAGGCCTGACCAAGGCCAGGCGCGTTTTCACGCCTTGCTGCATCAGCAGCATGGTCTGGACGTCCGGTAGGGACCCAGACCGGCTGGGCTGTTTGAGGCCACCACCAGGCAGACCCAGCCTCGCCCAGCGCTATAGATAGTTGGGCAGCGGCTCGCTATTTTGAGCCCTGCGCTGTAAGGCTGAACGGAGAGGCATAGGTGGGAGTGAGAGGCAGAGGCCATACCTGTAGTGACGAGCTTACCTGGCGCCATAGCTGAGATCTCCACGCAGTACCTGCACAGGACAACCTTGGCAGTTTGTACAGCGGCAGTGACCTGCAGGTGAGGCAGCGAGGAGGGTGACATCTTCTTCTCCCTTCTCGCCCTCCATCTCTCCTCCTCCTTTTCTCCATCTTCCTTCTTCTTCTTCTTCTTCTTCTTCTTCTTCTTCTTCTTCTTCTTCTTCTTCTTCTTCTTCAGAGACGAGAGTGAGAGAGGTTACAGGTAGAGGATACAGGCAGAGGTTTCAGTGGGCATTGCGCCCAGGATCCGGTTCGACATTTCTGAGGCAGACATTGATTGGACATCGGCAAGGGACTATT